GACTCAGTATCAAGAATATAAATTCCATTCTGCAACACACCACAACCATAAAAGATCTCATCTTTATAAAACGAACAACGATTGTTCTTAACATTAATTGAAAAACCACTCATGTCTAAACACGAAATAGAAATAATGTTTTTAGTAATGGCGGGAACAAAATAGCAATTCTCTAATTCTAATACTAAGCCTGAAGGCAGTGGTAAGAAGTATGTCCCTACAGCTAATGCAGCAACTTCTCTTTTCTGTAATGGTCTACTTCTTTTTAGTCCCTGCATATTTATACAAATATGAGATCCACATCCGGTATCTAATACCCAAGAAGCTAATGAAGTAGACATATTAACCTCGATGACAAAAGTACTTGAAGTAGAAGTTTCAGAAGACTTCTTTCCCTTCAAGCTTGCGAGGTAAGCCTTGCAGTTTCTCTTCCAATGACCTTTCACTCCACAGTGATAACATGGGTCATCAGATTTGGTATTGTCCTTGCCTGCTTTGACTGCTTTGTTATTGCCCTTAGCCTTTTTGGATGTTTTCTTAAAACTTCCTTTAACTTTCCTCTTAGTTCCCTTTGAGGAATGAATAGCTAAGACATGCCCAGTGCTAGCCTTGACATTGGGCTCCACAGTTTTAAGCATATTAAGCAACTCAGGGAGTGTGCATTCGATCTTATTCATGTTAAAATTCATGATGAATTGTGAATAACTATCTGGCAGAGACTGTAGAACCAAGTCAATACTTTGTTCATGATCCATGATAAAATCCAGTGAACTGAGTTTTTCAATAAAACCAATCATCTTCAGCACGTGAGCACTGACTAATGATCCTTCTGCCATTTTGCACTGGTACAGTTGTTTAGAGGTCTCATACCTCTCCACACGAGATTGTTCATCATACAACTCCTTGAGATGAAAAATCATAGTGTAAGCATCCATACCCTCATGTTGCTTCTGCAACTCAGGAGACATAGCTGCAAGCATCACACATGCTGCAGTGTTATCGTCATCACTGTGTTTATTGTAAGCAGCCACCTCTTCCTGAGTGAAATTTTCAGTAGGCACCACTGGAAAGGACTGCTCAATGACATATCCAATTTTCTCATGCTTGAGAACGATTCTCAAATTGCGGTGCCAATCGAGAAAATTTGGTCCGGTCAGTTTGTTGGCATCCAGTATGCCTCTCAAATTCATATGATTACTCATGATTCAAAAAACTGTAAATGACAAAAAAAATAGAATTAATAGGTATTATAATGCATGTGCATAAATTCAATATGGACTTTAATTAAACCTGCTCCCACTGTACAAAATAAATTCATGACCCTCATTCATAAATTATTTGAATCCACACTTGATTCACAGTGGGCTGGGATCCCATTCGTTGTATCGGGATCTTGAGTGTACTCAACAAATCCTAATAAAACATTTAGGTAGATTTTATTATCAATTGTATCTCCATACAACTCCCAGATCATTAAGTCGACAACTTCTTTGTCTTCACATATCTTATGTGTTAGCTTAACATGTCTCTAAAACTTATCTCCTTGAGTGTACTCAACAAAAGATAAATTTTAGTTAAGTTAAACCCATCATTCAGAAATATCAAATATTTCATAGTGTCAAACATATCCCTAATAGACCAGCCTTGAGTGTACTCAACAAGCTAAGGTCGATTTAGGATTCTCGTTTTTCACTATAATGATGGAAGGCAAATAATACTAACTTAATAATTTTTAACGAGGGATTTAATGTGCAATGGTCTCATCAAGCAACTACATATACATACATATATTTAAACATACATCTACTATGCGAATAAATACATATATATATATAAGTAATAATATGGATGATTATGAACTTGTTCTATCTAGTTTTTCGGAGCCAAAAGGAATACTAGTTGGTCAATTCCTAAGGGGTACAATATTGGACCAATACCAATACACCATCTTCATGGTGTCCACCTCTTCTTGCGCCTCCAATTAGCCCAACTTACAACATGTATCCTATACTAGTTGGCACACAAGCCTAAAAGAAATCGAACTCGCAGACCCATAACAATAACAATAACAATGAACTCGCAGGTCCAATATAATAAAGAGCTCGCAGGCCCATAACAACAATAATAATAACGGACTCGCAGGTCCAAAATAATTAAGGGCTCATAGGCCCATAAAACAATAAGAAGTAAATCAACCATTCAACACATCCATATGGTCGAGTCCATAATCATCCACAAACATTCATCACATAAATGTTTCCTATGTATAATATCTAATATTATAT